TGTTTTGAAAAAGATGCCTTGTCTAGGCAACCATTGTAATAATTCTTTACTCGAATGTTTTACAAAGGTGTTTGTCTTTTTGAAAAGATGTTTCAATGTTTTTGAAAGTTATTTTGAAAGTTGTGTTGTGAAATGTGTTTTGAAAAATGGCAAGGATTTGTTTTGCAAGTTGGTCAAGTAACCAAGAGCTATCTACCCTAAATTTCTCAAAGATCTTTCCTATGTTTTAACCCTTTTAACAATATTGTTCCACCATTGTATTTGGTGGACAATCTTGTGTTAGGATGTTAACGGGATGGGCGCGGGTCATCGTTTAGACCATGAATGCAATAGTGCCAAGTGTCTTTGGCAATTTTTCTCTTTAAGGGACTTGATCATTTTTAGGCAACTTGAAAAAGTGTCATCGAGGGGCTATGATCATTTGATTTGTTTTTGTTTTGCCAAAGACACTCAACATGCAACATGGCCCATTTTTGAAGGCAACAAATGGAGTAACCCTAGGGGTGCAAGTGTGCTTGTGTTGTCCATTTTCATGCATTTTTGTCTTTGTATTAGTCAAGCTATTTGTTATTTGATTTGCATACAAACCCTAAGTCTATCATGGCATAATTTGAAAGCTTTTAAATACGGAAATTTAAAGTACTAAATTATTACAACATAATTATGGGGATGGGGGTACAAATGTTTGAATGGGGGGATATTTAGCAAGAAATTAAATCTAAAACTATTACATCCATATTGAATATACAAATATCAAATTGTACAATAATTAAATAAATACAATAAATATGCAAAATGTATTATGCACAAAAATAGTTTTTTATGTATGTAAAAGTATCTTTTAATGTGAAATATAAACAAGATAAAAAAGTCAATTTTTGGTGATTTTTATTGTCTTAGGGTTAAACCCTAGTTTTTTGAATAAACATTTTTATTTATTGAGTATATACAAAATAAATTAATTTATGCACAAAATAAAAAGTATATGGTTAAAAAGGTATTTTTGATGTCATATATTAATAAAAATAAAAATGTATTATTTTTATATTTTTATTCTAAATATTTAATAAAATATGTATAAGTATATTTATATATATTTAATAAGTTAAATATGTACAAAAAATAAAATATTAATTATTTACAAAAAATGTATTTTTTTAGAAAATGTTTTCAAAATGTAAAATAAAAATAATAACTGAAAATAAATATATTTTTGTATTATTTTTTTAGTGTTTTAAATAAAAGTATATATATTTATTTACATGTATAATTTTTATAAAACAAATAAATACCAAATAAATGCAAAAATGTATGGAAAAATATTTTTTATATTTTTTATATTTGAGCAAAAAATAATAAGTCAGAACAAAAAAAGACAAAAAAATGCAAAATGACAATTATTTCACACAATGGGCCAAGGGGTGCAAAATGGAAAAAGAGTGTGCAAAGAGCAAAACCAACTCAGGCCCAGCCCAAGTCAGCCTTCTTCAACCTCCAGCCTTGTTTCAAACAGAAAACGCGCGCTTCACCATGTCCAACACAAACTCTTGATTCTTTGACTTTTAGCAAAAACTCACAACACAAATAATGTAGAGCATCAAGAGACGAATTCATACATATAAAAAACTTGACCTAACTCTAAGAAACGAGGGAGAATTTCTTCATCCCCAATTTCTGACCTAAATTTTCTCCAATGTTCATGGCCAAAATTCTCACAGCATACTCAATATAAATGAAAAGTAAGTATATGGATGGTTTCAGGGCTATGAGGAGAACATGTTTCATTCACAAACCTAAGCCTAACTCTTCCTATATTGAGAGATAGAAGTTCATGTTTTTACCTGTTTCAGCTTGAGTCGTGTACAACAATGGAGGTATCTTCAATGGAGTTTGAGCTTTGGTACAACTTGCCTGAAGTCCAAGGATGCTTCTCCTATGCTTGGCTTGCTCTGAAACTGCCTGTATCGTGCTATGGAAGTCCACCTGCATAGCTTGAAAGCAAAAATGGCAAACGATGTTAAGGATGTTACAGCTTGAGTTCAATGCTTGGGATAGCTTCAGTGGATGATATGGAACATGTTTGAACTCTTTTTGGCCAAAGTGCACGAGTGGAAACGTTTGTGAAAGTCAAGTTGCAGAACTTGCTCTGTTTCTGCAGCAAGAGGGTGTTTTTGTGAATGAGGAGGTTTGGGATGTGGTTCAGTCGTGCTTTAGGTCAGTTAGGGTGTGTGAAAGATGTTTGCAAAGTTTGCTTTGGCTGGTTGTTACAGGAATGAGAGATTGAGAGTTTTTGCAAGTTTTTTTTTCTTTTTTGAAGTAAGAAGGTTCAAGTTGGGTTATAGGCCTGTACAAGGCTCTCAAGCATGCTTCCACACTCCCTCTTGATCAGTGGGATTTGTCTACAAACTTGTGCCTCAAAGATCTGGCTTGTACCTCTTAGATATGGTATTTGACATAAAGTGCATCTTTTCCAAAATGGTAAATTTACTTTTTCCATTTAAAGACTAATTCTTTGTGTAATGACTAAATGCATAAAACAATGCTTGAACACAAAGGTTAGGCATTTAATTATTGAGTGTGAAGAGGTTTAGAGGCCTGCAAACTATCACAAATCCTGCTGACTTGAAAATGCCAATGTTATGAACAAGCTTTGGCCATGAACAAAAGTGAATTTTGCCCAACTTTGCAAATTCGATTCTCCCTAACCACAAGGGTGTTTGATGAGTTCTTGGACAATTTGGAAAGCTTGGAATATGTACTACAATCCATCTTTGTAATGAAAATTGAAATTCCAAGTGGAATCATGTGAAAAGTGGCCATGAAGTTGGACAAAAATCCTGCCTAGAATAGGTCAAAATTTTTCTAAGTTAGGAATGTTTTGCACCCTTATTCCAAAAATCATAACTTGAGCTACAAGCTTCCTTTGAGAAAACTTTGTGAATCAAAGTTGTAGATTTTGAAATGGACTACAACTTTCATGTTTTGAGTTTTGTTTGAATCCATTTGTATCTTGATGAAACAATGGGACAAAGTTAGGAAAAAATAAGGAAGTTTCATAACTTAGAAAAATTCTAAGTTATGAAATTTTCTCATTTTAAACCCTAATTTGCAAATTTGGATTTCTTGATGAACAAGTTTCATAATTTGACATGTCTTGATGAAAAATGAATCTTGGCACTTGATTTTGACCAAAAAGTCAAAGTTTGACTTTTCAGTATACAGTCAAATTTGATTAGTTGACTGAAAAATTCATCTGTCAATCCTGTGCATTTGAGATCTTTTGAACTTGTTGAATGTGTCAAGACAATGCCATTGAGTCCTTGAGTCCATATGTGAGCTTGGTTTGTCATTGGTTAGGTCAAACAGTCAAAAATTGCCTTTGTGCAGTCAAAACCCTAAAAATGACCATTTTGCCCTTTTGGTGATCTGATCAAATTTCTTGTGGAATTGTAATCCAAACTTGACCAAATGGTTCATATGAGTTCATTATGTTGATGTGGGTCAAAAATTATGAAGTTTGACTGTCAATTGGCCACAGTTGACTTTTTCCCCAATACAGCTGATTTCTAGGTCAACTGTCCAATTGACTGGGCAAAGACTGGAATCAAGGCTTGAAACTTGGTATGGATAAACTTGTAGGTCCAACATGAAGCATGAAAGTCACTTTGGGCATTTTAGGTCAAAACATCTTTGTGCAAATTCAAACCCTAATTTGGGTAAACAGTGCAAGGAGGAGTCTTGAGCAGAGCAAACCCTAACTTGATCTTGAGCTCCAAGGGTCTTATGGTGAGAAAATGTTGATGAAATGAGAGGGCAAATTTTGGGGTACAACAGCGATCTATAGACAAATTGCGGGGGTTGATTGCAAACCTTATGCTCCACTTGGCTGACTTGATAACAAGAGTAGCATTGTTCATGGCATCGATGCACGACGTGAGTTATGAACGACCTGGGGACTAGAAAGGGCGGGGTCGATTACAGACCCTCTTTTCGCCTTATTCCTCCTTTTGAGGACTTATCAATGGGGAATGGGAATGGGATGCCTTTTTTGAGGTATTTGGCACAAAGATAAACACACAAAATCGTCTTTGTAGAGGACTTTAAACAAGTAAGCACAAGTAGGAATTTTATTCTAAAGGTCTTTTAAAACAACATTGCCCACCTAAAGTAGGGACTCCCAGTCATGCATCTCTATTCCTACTTCTCATGGAAAAGAAATGGAAAGACAATGCGGAGATGAGGCATAAAAGAGATCTCAAGTGATACCTAACGGAGAAGGTCCGTCGCCTCTTCAAAGCCACGCAAGCGATGAGAAAACTCTATCGAATTTGCTTCACATAAGTGATCACACGAGTAAATATCCAAGCATTCCACCTCACAAAAGTTGCATCAATATTATCACAAATTCTTAAAAAAAAGGGAACAAAATGGTTAATGCACACATAAAAAAGATAATAAAAAACTTTAATAAAAATATAAAGAAAAATCCTAAAGAATTCTAAGATATTCTACTATTTATTAACTTGATACTTATTTTCAACACTATTTCAATAGAGAAAAACGATACAAGAAAATTAGAGTGGAAGTATAAACAGAAGGGGTGAAGTCAAGACTCAGAGAGTCTATGGAGTAGCAAAACTTAGGCGATGAAGTCTCCACTAAGAACAGTTCAACAAGTGTCAAGGAATATTACATCGCTTACATCCTCGCGCGATTCTGATCCACATCAAGATACAGAAAATTGAAGAGTCAAGGAATATTACATCGCTTACCTACTAGAGAGAGTCTGGTGCTCCTTCAGCTTGATAAGATGATGATTTCAAAGATAGATCTTGTAAGTTTTCTGTTTGATATTCACTTCTCTGGTTTCTGCTTCTGCGTGTTTCTATCTTTCTTCTTCTGCTTTCCGCTTTCTGTTCGCTTCTGCTCGCGAATTGTAATGTTGGGTTGATGTTGAAGCTCTGCGTGTGATTGTTGCAGATTGAAGTTATAGAACGTTGATGTCAAAGATGAAGATGCGATGGAGATCGATTGTTGTTTTTGTTGAGAAACACTTGAGGGTAAATATATGTAGCAGATTGGTACGCAGAGGAAGAGAATCGGTTATAATGTTGAGAAGAAGAGTATGTGATCTGCCGGCGATGCAAAGAATCATGATGAGGATGATGCAATTCATAGAGGTGATGAATATGAAGCAAAGCTATGCAGATAGATGAATGAGAATTTTTATGAGGTTTTTGTGTGATTCTTCTCAGGAGAATCAAGAATGGTGAAGGTTTTGGGAGGTTGAAGATTCAGTCTGAGAATTGATGAAGATGAGAGAGATTTTCAGAGATGAAGATTGATGAGGGAGAGAGTTTTCTGGTGATTCTTCCACTGGTGTGAAGAATGAATCGATTCTGGTGAGTTTTTGTGTTTTATAGTTTGTTAGAAAAATTTATTGCAGTAATGATCTCAGCCTTAGATTAATGAAATTTTGTTAGGAGAAATAGATGGTGAGGGTTTAGTATGAGTTTTCCTGAATTTTAGCCTAAATTTGCCAAAGGGGGAGTGTTAGCTCCAACATTTTAAGGGTTGGCAGAAATTTTTCTAACACATGGTTTTGTTAAGTTGTCAAATAGTGTATGGTTTATTTCTGTGAGGTTGTTATTCATCTTCTGCCTCTGAGATGTTTTTCTACTGATGTGCTTATGAGTTCTCTGTGTTTGCTTTATTTTCAAACCTGAGATGATATGTTGTGTTAACCAAAATAAACCAAAGGGGGATTGTTAATTCTCTAATTTTGTTTTAACCAAAATACTAGGCTTCTAAGTACACGACTTCTATAGACGACTTCAGGTGACTCCGGTAGGCTTTACGGCGTAACATCCTCTAAAACCCAGCAGAATAATACATCATTAATCAAAGTAAATATGGTTAAGGTGTGACTTACTTATGACTTAGGCTTTTTCTCTTTCATAAAGTAGCAGTTTTGACACAGGTAATTTGTTTTAAAGTACAGGTCTTTGTTTCTATTAACATGACACTATTGGTGATGTCTGCAAATTCAAGATGAAGTAAATTTTCTTTGTGTGTGCTTCTTTTCTAGTTCTTCTTATTCACTCTCTAAGATGCATATGGTTAAGGTGTGATTTATTTATAATGTATTAGTTTCAAAATTTCATTAAGTATCATTTTTGACTTGGGTCCTCTGTTTTAAAATATACACTATTCACAAAATGATCTCAAATTACAAGTCTTTGATTATATGTAAGAGTTGGTGATGTCTGTAAAATTCAAGATGAAGTGAATGTTTGCATGAGATGAAAAAGTGATATACTATCATGAAATAAAAATTATCTTTTTAAGGATATCATTTGGTTTAATATTGATAAGAAATTAATTCACCCCTTAAAAATTTTTAAAAAATTATATTTATTTTTAATGTAAAGGTTATACATGTTCTTTTAGTTAAAGAATACAATGATACACATGTTAGTTATACCAATTTGGTGGTCAAAATCGGACCTTCAAAAAGACTAACTTCTCATAAAGGGCTCACTATATGAAAATTATGAAGTAATTTCTGATGCGGAATTGAAAAGAAAATATTTTAACATATATTATATGGTCCACTTATCAATTTGACAAGTAATATATCATATGCAAATCAATTCTACAATTGTGTTAATCTCCTGCAAACAAACATGGCTTCATATACAAAACAAGTTACCACATTGATAATTATATCATATTTTTGTGTCTAAAATAAAAGTCAAGCCACTTTTAAAACAGACACATATATAATAGACTTTCAATATAATATTGATAATGGTTTATTAATTTTCCATACACTTCATAATCATGATTTTAATACGAGGAATTGACAACTCACTTTTTAACATTGAAATTAAAATTAATCTAATAAACACAATAATAAATCTCTTATTTCTTATGTGAAAAACAAGTAAGCTAACAAATGATTTATTAATCTAATCGAAACAAGACTCTCTTTATAAATTATTATTTTAAAATTATCCATTCCTTTAACACCATCAAACTCCTCAATCATTTGAGTACATAAATCAAAGCATATTGGTTCCCTTCCATATTTCTTTGCAAAGAATATATCACTATTTTTTCCTGCTCCAATAGGATACTTAATGTCATCGGTCAAGGGTCCAACAACAATGATTGTAGTCCAAGATTCATTCATACCCAATTTTCCTAAAGTTGATATGTGAAAAGTATTTGGATACCATAAAATCCAAGCAATGGATCCATTTAACAATAACAACGCATGATGCACCCCATTATTGGGATCTATGTCTAAGGGCACCCCATTAATGGGATCTATGTCTAAGGGCATGAGTGTGGGTATAAGTGTGGTAAAGTAAACTTCATTGATCAATTCAAATGACACAAAGTATTGTTCATTGTATTCTCCATGAGAGTTAGAGAGCCAATGACACATTCCATCCAAGTATAGTAGATTATCATTACAGTTGCCGCCCTCCCAACAACAAGTAGGAAGGACGAGATCAACTTTCCTCCAAGAGTTACATACTAGACTATATACCTCCCAAAAGGGTTCATAGTAGTCACACACATCTTCCCATTGCACATCATACGGAAGAACATCATCATCAACATCATCATTATCATTTGTTACCGGAGAAAAACCTACATTTCAATAATCTTATAATTGTCACTAAAAGGGTCATAGCCAAATCCATGAATAAATATAATAATAGCCTGATAAGGTGGTAGAGACTCGGCGGGGCTGTGAAGAATTACTTTGAATTCTTCTGTAGTTGGATTCTGCAATACAATCGTGTCATCGTGATTGTAAAGACATAAAATTCCATTTATACTACCAGAAACCAATACGTAGAAGTCAGGGTCCTCTTGTTGAAATGGATTTGGAAATTCCAATTTAACTTTATTCTAAAACCTCTCGCCGGAAAGTGAATGCAAAGAGAAACTAACGTATTTGCGATTGCAATTACAAGCAATTTGATGAAGTAAGATAGATGTATCATTGAAAAAAGAGTGAAGAATAGATAAGAAATTATTGCAAAACTTGATCATAAAGTTTGGATTTTCAAACAAAACAGACCATGTTTTGTCTACACATCCAAAGTGCATCAAAGATTTTTAAGGAATTTTTTATAGAATGGAGAAAGCAAGATCATTAGGTATGTGATTTCTTACCTTCACACTTACAGATTTCGCCACCCACGTTGACAGAGCAAAATATACAATGTGATAAAGTGTTGTTGTGGTAAGTGCAAAAATAATGACCGAAGTTGAATTTCTTATTTCCTCACTTGAAAAATTATTCTTGAAAATTTATTTATACATAAACAATACTTAACTGAGAAGTAATTTTTTCCAAAGAGAAAGAAAGATGGTCCCCAGCGACATATATTAGCGACGTGGTTATCACGTGAGTAATAAATGCAGTTGCGACGTGATAACCACGTCACAAACATATTTTAATGATACATAAAGCAAGTCAGAGGTGGTTGTTTGGAAAAAGAATCAGCGACGTGTCTTACACGTCGCTACAGAAGGGGGGAAATTTGAAATTTGGTAGTGACGTGATAGCCACGTCGCTACATTAAAGGGGGGAAATTAAAGTTGATTGATCACAGGGTGGCAGAGTGGGAAAGTGAATTATATTTCTGTTGAGTGTGTAGCAACGTGAGTATCACGTGGGAATGTTGCGACGTGACAGTCACGTCGCTACTTGATGTTTACATCTCCACAAAATTCTCATCCGTTACAGCATCTGGTGTGGTTTGTTTCCTCTTCCTTTCTTCTTCCTTTCCTCTTCCTTTCTTCTTCCTTTCTTCTTCCTCTCAAACTCAAATTCCCAAATCAAATTTCCTCCATCCCAAATTGTTGAAGAAGAATAAGGTATTCATATTTTGATAAATTTTTATTTCATTTGTTCATTATTTATTATACTGGTAATAAATATTAAAAATGGTATTTTGTTTAACCTGTAGAGAAATTTGAAGAAGAACACCAAGAGCTACACAAGAAGAAGCAAATTAAGTGAAGAAATTATATAGAGGTATTTATGCATTTTTTTATATTTTATATGTATTATATAGATTAGTAGTATATGTATTTTGTTTATGTGAATTAAAAAAATATTTTACTTAATTTTAGTTTTAGGTTAATTAGTATTATAGGTTAATGTTTAAAATAAAATGAAAATTAGAATGTTTTATATATTAATATATTATTAAACAGAAATATTATTGTTAATATATATAGGTTAATATTTATTAATATTATTGCATGTTATATAGACATATAAAAAAAATTTGTTAGTATATACGTATAAAATAAAATAAAAATTGAATATATATTAAAATAAAATTTTTTAGAAAACATAAAATTAAAAGTCTTATTTTATATATATATATATATATATATATATATATATATATATATATATATATATATATATATATATATATATATATATATATATATATATATATATATATATATATATATATATATATATATATATATATATATATATATATATATATATATATATATATATATATATATATATATATATATATATATATATATATATATATATATATATATATATATATATATATATATATATATATATATATATATGTTAACACATAAATTTAATAACATATTTAAAAAACAAAAATGTATATTATATTTATTATAATAGTTTTATTTTTTTATTTATATGTTAAAGATATGAAAAAAAATTATATATTAAAATAAGAATTTATAAAAAACATAATTAAAAAAGAGTATATATATTATATTATTATTTTAATATTATTGTTATATATATAATAAAAAGTATATATGTTACATTATTTGTTTTCTAATATTATTGTTGTATATATAATAAAAAGTAAATATGTTATATTATTGTTTTTTGATATTATTGTTATATAATAAAAAATTATATATTTTACATTTGAATATTTATTTATATGTTAGTATATATATAAAAAAAACAAAATTTATATTTTTAAGAATAGTATTAAATAGTTTAAGAATAATATTATTAAGTTGATTAATATTTCTAATGAAAAAGACAATGATTGTATAAATGTGCAGTATGGAATATTATCGGTATTATCGTAGTTGGATGTACGATAGAACATATCCAGGAAGAAGTGGACTTAAACCCAATTTTATAGTAGGAGTTGATGGGTTT